GCCAAAAAAAAGGCCTGAACTTTGACGATAAAGCCTAAGGAGACCAAGTGTGGCGTTCTGCATTTTGAGGAGGTAGAAGCCCCTGAAGAGATGGGCGGTGGACCCTTTCGCTGTGGAAGAAAGACCTTGTCTCCTTTTTTGAATTAGTCAAGTGCTTCAAACAGCCTTCCTCCTTCAAAAGGGCATACAAGTGATGCATCTTTTATAGGTAGCTTCAGCATTTCAAAAGCTGCTTAAACAACTGAAGGTAGAAACCTTAATCTAGGGTCTATGAATATCCAGCTTGTGTCCTGTACTGTACAATTAACATAACAGAATTTTTGCCACAGAGAAGTTCCAAGCAAAGTATGCCTTCTACCCACGCTGACAGATGTGTGTAGTAAATCCATGCTTTTTAGCATAATGGGAATCATCGATTCAGATATGCACTTGTGCTTCAATAGCCATGGGAGGTAAATCTGTCCTTGATATAAAAGAATTGGATAAACCCACGAACCAACCCATCCGCCTGGGGCAATCTGACAATATTGGAATTACCATATTGCCCTCCACGTCAATCCTGTGAATTAGGCAACAAAAAAGTTTCAAGGAAGGTACAGCATAGATCAGACAGTACTGATCCCATGGCATCCACATCTGGAGACAAACCTGTCCAGTTTGTTGTTTAACCTGGAGGCCAGAAGATCCACATCTAGTGTCTCCATTTCTAACACATTCAGCAACACCTCCCGAGCTTAAAAACCCCTCCCCTGGACCCTGGTGCTGCCGTCTAAGAAAGTCTGCCTATCAGTTATCTACGCCTGGTATGTAAACGGCATACAACATGAAGTTTTGCTCTGGAGAGAATCCTTATTTTGCTCTAGTAGCAGCAAGATTTCTGATTCCTCCCTCATGATTGATATATACATGTCGTGGCATTGTCCCACTGAATCTGAATCAAATGACTCTGCTGTCAAGATATCTAGTTTTGCAGGGACCACTAAAACAGCCTAAAGTTTCAGCATGTTGATTGAGAGATAACATTCCTCAGATGTCAATGTCCCCTGTGCGGACAAGGTGCCCAGGACTTCTCCCAAGCAGGCTGGCAGTAATTGTGACTATCTTCCAAAAGATTAGAAAAAAAGACCTTCCCTGACTCCAGGGCAGGTTTCCTTAGCCACCAAACCAGGGATAACCTGGTCTTTGGTTCCAGATAAATTGATCAGTCCAAGAACTGGACTGGCTTTTCTTAAGGTGACAGGTTGTTGTGTTGTAAAGATCTGGAGTGGAAATGGGCTAGTGGTACTGCCTACAAAAGGAGGGAGCAGGTCATCTTCACCATGTCTAAATGCCTAAATGCACTGAGTTGCTGCTATGTGATTGGCTGATTAGCGATTTGTGTTATCAAGCAATTGAACAGGTGTACCTAATAAAGTGGCCAATGACTGTACATACAGTTATACAACAGGTACAGAAATCCAAGTATGTCATATCACATCAAGCATAATACAGCAAAGATAGTCACTACACTGCTGCATCACAGTAACGAAAATACATGCATACATATCGGTACAGTGAGCTACACTTAAAATGTTTAAGAGCTGATGTTCAGAAATACAAACAGAAGTTCAGAACCCAGAAAAGAGTAATGGAAAGGATAGCTGACCAGACCCTGGTGAAATGGTCTTAGCCCAATCAGCTAGTGTTTGACAGACTAGTTTAACAAACAGACTGGTTGTGATGCAGGCCTCCAGTCATTTGTTGATGGAGACATTAAAGATGGGTGCATCCCCTCCTCACTGGGATGGTCAACACTTTTTAAAGTATACTGCCACATCCAGAGAGGGAGCAGTCCACTTTTTAAACATGTCCTCAAGCGGTTACAAGGCCTCATCTAGCAGTTACAAGGCTGATAGCGGCTTTGGAGGTTCCAAATTTTCAGTTGCAGGTCTTTAGAACACTAAAAGGAGATAAGACTGGGGACAGCTCTGGTAGAAGCTACAACCTGACCTTCACGTCCACAGTGGTGCACATCGCATCAATGGATGAAACGGTTTCTTTTAGTTTGGGATTCATGGTGGAAGATCAACATCTCTGGTATAGATTCGTTCGTTAAGGACTTCAGAGTTTTGCTGGCTAAAGGCTAGGAGGCCACAGGCAGATCAGATAAAGAGTCTTCAAAAAAAAGGCATGAAAGCAAGATTATGGTTTCTGCGGTCACGAGTCTGCAATCAAAAAAGGTGTTATCTACACCATAAAATCCTGACTGACTACAGTGAAATCTTCCAGGAATAGAGCTGGGGAAACAGCCATGATCATCAAATCTAAGTTAAAGCGGAGTCTGACAGACTAATAGAGCGGCAAATTTACAGGCTGTCAGCAACGGGCACCTGAGGGAGCACACTACAGGCACCACTGTAACCTTTAATGCAGTGTGAGATGGAGCCACCCAGCACTCTTCTCTGCGTGTGTAGGACTGCACATGTTGTACCTCAAGGTGGGAAACCAAGTTGCTCAGGGTACAAGGTTAGGCCTCAAATACTCTCAAACCTAGCTGGGTAGCAGGATGAACAGAAGAGAGGTTCATGTGTCTCTTGGGATCAGGAGCGGGAAAGTTGCTACTTCAAAGCTAAACGTAAAAAATGAGAGCAGAGTGCGTGCAGACGCAACACTCCACCCAGGGGTGATATCAAGGCTCAATCCCTCAGAGGTAACACTTAGCAGTGAAACCAACAGAAACCAGGAATTTTAAATGATGCCCAACAGTTCTAACAATGAGGTAGCTCTGAAACTCAAACCGTACAGCCTACTCACAGACACGCAGGTATAGAAAGCACCACAATGCTGATAACTGTACCCAAAGGTCACATTCCAGGCTAACCCTGCATGACCAGTCCAGCAGGGTCCCAGTACAGCACCCTCAAGTCAAGCTGAAGAAACTTTACCAAACAGAGACCAGCTCTGCAGGAATGTTGAAGAAAAAATATGTGGCTAGCTAAAAGAGCAGATAAATTATGTTTATCCTCTAAAGACGCCAGAAAAAGAAATAGGCATGCTGGGAGTAGGCGGGGTTATACTGAATTTGCCAACATTTATCTTTTTGGCCATTCACATCTAGGCAGCAATATGACCAGATAGATAGTTTCTATATTTCTGTTTCCCGCAGTGTACAAAAAAGAAAAGGTTTAAAATATCCAGTATTGCATTATTAGAAACACATGCTTACTTATGATATAGCTTAAAAGTTTAATTCCCACATTTAGCTTTACTCAGTTTTTTTTGTAATTTTAAATAGCGTAAGAAAGGGTTAGAACCTGGGTCTGGGATTATAAATACCAGTTCAGTCTTTGCAGATGACACCAAGCTGTGCAGTGGAATAACGTCCTTACAAGATGTCTCCAATTTACAAGCCAATCTAAACGAACAGTTTAATTGTGCAACTATGTGTCAAATAAGGTTTAATGTTGATAAATGTAAGGTTATGCACTTGGGGGTTAAGAATATGCATGCATCATACATACGGGGGGGGGGGGGGGGGGGGGGGGTACAACTGGGGGAATCAATGGTGGAGAAGGATCTGGGAGCTGTGGTAGATTACGAGCGTAATAATGGCATGCAATGCCAAGCTGCGGTTTCTAAAGCGAGCAAAATCCTCTCTTGTATTAAAAGAGGTATAGACTCCAGAGAGAGATATTTTACCCCTGTACAAATCATTATGTAAATGGTTAGAAAACTGGCTAAAAGATCGTATTCAGAGAGTAGTGGTTAATGATTCATACTCTGAATGGTCTAGGGTCATCAGTGGTGTACCCAAGGGTTCAGTGTTGGGACCCTTACTTTTTAATATAATTATAAACGATATAGGGTCTGGGATTATAAATACCATTTCAGTCTTTGCAGATGACACCAAGCTGTGCAGTGAAATAACGTCCTTACAGGATGCCTTCAATTTACAAGCCATCCTCAATGCACTGTTTAATTGGGCAACAATGTATCAAATGAGATTTAATGTTTATAAATGTAAGGTTATGCACTTAGGGGTTAAGAATATGCATGCATCATACATACTAGGGGGAGTACAACTGGGGGAATCAATGGTGGAGAAGGATCTGGGAGTTCTGGTAGATCATAAGCTTAATAATGGCATGCAATGCCAAGCTGTGGCTTCTAAATCGAGCAAAATCCTCTCTTGTATTAGTTATAGACTCAAGAGAGAGATATCATTTTACCCCTGTACAAATCATTAGTAAGACCTCATCTGGAATATGCAGTTCAGTTTTGGGCACCAATTCACAAAAAGAACATTAGGGAACTGGAGGAAGTACAGAGAAGGGTAACCAAACAGATACGAGGCATGGAGGAGCTCAGCTATGAGGAAAGATTAGAGGAACTGAATTTATTCTCTTGAGAAGAGGAGATTAAGGGGGGATATGATCAACATGTATAAATACATCAGTGGTTCATATAGTGAACTTGGTGTGGAGCTATTCATCCTGAGGTCATCACAGAGGACAAAGGGGCACTCTTTACGTCTGGAGGAAAATAAATTTAATCTCCAAACATGGAAAGGTTTCATCACAGTGAGAGCTGTGAAAATGTGGAATAGACTCCCTCAAGAGTTGGTTCTGGCCAGCTCAGTGGATTGCTTTAAAAAAGGCCTGGATTCTTTCTTAGATACACAGAATATAACTTGATACTAACATTTATAGGTAAAGTTGATCCAGGGAATATCTGATTGCCTCTCTGGGGATCAGGAAATAATTTTTTCCCCTGCAGGAGCAAATTGGATTATGCTTTGTTGGGTTTTTTTTTTGGCTTTCCTCTGGATCAGCTGTGGGTGTAGGATTATAATGTTTTGTTGTTTTTTTTTTCACATGGTTGAGCTGGATGAATTTTTGTCTTTTTTCAGCCAGACTATGTAACCTCTGCAAGATTTATTGGATTAGCCTATATATCCAAATGCTCTCTAAAAATACTTATTCAGCTTTAACCTGTAGCCTTGCATGTTTGAAAAAATCTACCTCCATATTTGGACCCATCTTCAGTCACCGCATTCAATGACAGGCTGGTTTGAATATATCCGGGGCTTATCACAGTGACTTCAATCTCATGTGGTGCCATCTCAGCTCTCAAGCAATCAAAAAAGGCTTGTGTAGCATGCTTAGATGCTGAATCTGGGGAGAAAAATATCAGAGAGAAAAAGGGTGCATCCAATATCTATTATAGAATAATAAATAAATATAAATTTATATATATATATATATTAGGTCCATATATGTTTGAACACAATTTTAGGTTTATTTTCAGGTATTTGCCAAAACATATTCAAACTACAGTTATATAATAGATATGGGCTGAAAGTGCACACTCTGGTTTAATTTGAGGGTATGTACATCCAAATTGGAGGAAGGGTTTAGGAATTACAGTTCTTAAGAGTAACCATCTCCCCTTTTCAAGGGACCAAAAGTAATTGCACAACTGAATCAAAAGCCGTTTCATGGCCAGGTGTGGGCTACTTCTTCATCAATTAAGCAGGTGAAAGGTCTGGAGTTGATTCTAAGTGTGGTACTTGCATTTGGAATCTATTGCTGTGAACTTAAATCATGCATTCAAAGGAGCTGTCCATGCAAGTGAAACAGGCCATTGTAAAGGCATCAAAAACTAAACAAATCCATCAGAGAGATAGCAGCAACATTAGGAGTGGCCAAATGAACAGTCTGGTACATTCTGAGGAAAGAAGAATGCACTGGTGAGCTCAGCAACATAAAAACGCATGGATGTCCATGGAAGAAAACAGTGGTGGATGATCGCATGGCTTCCAGCGGCACTGGGTCATTGGTGTTTATTGATAATGTGACAGAAGACAGAAGCAGCGGGATGAATTCTGCAGTGTTTAGAGATATACTGCCAGCCCAGATTAAGCCAAAATGCAGCAAAGTTGACTGGACGGCACTTCACAGTACCGATGGACAATGATCCAAAAAACACATTGCAAAAGCAACCCAGCAGCTTTTGATGAAAAAGAAGTGGAATATTCTGCAATGGCCGAGTCAATCACCTGATCTCAACCCAATTGAGCATGCATTTCACTTGCTGAAGGCAAAACTAAAGGCAGAAAGACCCACAAACAGAACAACTGAAGACAGCTGCAGTTAGAGCCCGGCAAAGCATCAGAAAGGAGGAAACCCAGTCTCTGATAATGTTCTTGGGTTCAAGACTTCAGGCAGTCATTGACAGTAAAGGATTCTCAACAAAATATTAAAGATGAACAGTTTATGATTATATTTATTTGCCCAATTACATTTGAGCCCCTGAAAATTGAGGGACTGTGTATAAAAATGGTTGCAGTTCCTAAAATTTGTACTTGATATCCATGTTCAACCCCTTGAATTAAAGCTGAAAGTCTGCACTTCAAATTCAGTTGGATTGTTTCGTTATAATTTATTCTGGTGGCATACAGAGCCAAAAAGTAAGAAAATGGTGCAAATGTCAAAATATATATGGACCTAATATATATATATACACATACACAAACACACACACACATATATATATATATATATATATATATATATATATACACACACACATACATACAGTGGGGATCGAAAGTTTGGGCACCCCAGCTAAAAATTTGCATTAATGTGCATAAAGAAGCCAAGGAAAGATGGAAAAATATCCAAAAGGCATCAAATTACAGATTAGACATTCTTATAATATGTCAACAAAAATTAGATTTTATTTCCATCATTTACACTTTCAAAATAACAGAAAACAAAAAAAAATGGCGTCTGCAAAAGTTTGGGCACCCTGCAGAGTTAATATCTTGTACCGCCCCCTTTGGCAAGTATCACAGCTTGTAAACGCTTTTTGTAGCCAGCCAAGAGTCTTTCAATTCTTGTTTGAGGTATCTTTGCCCATTCTTCCTTACAAAAGTCTTCCAGTTCTTTGAGATTTCTGGGCTGTCTGTCACGCACTGCTCTTTTAAGGTCTATCCATAGATTTTCAATTATGTTGAGGTCAGGAAATTGTGAAGGCCATGGCAAAACCTTCAGTTTACGCCTCTTGATGTAATCCCCCGTGGATTTCGAGGTGTGTTTAGGATCATTATCCATTTGTAGAAGCCATCCTCTCTTTAACTTCAGCTTTTTCACAGATGGCATCAAGTTACCATCCAAAATTTGCTGAAATTTTATTAAATCCATTTTTCCTTCTACTCGTGAGATGTTCCCTGTGCCACTGGCTGCAACACAACCCCAAAGCATGATTCATCCAACCCCATGCTTAACAGTTGGACAGAGGTTCTTTTCATTAAATTCTGTGCCCCTTCTTCTCCAAACGTACCTTTGCTCATTCCGGCCAAAAAGTTCAATTTTAACCTCATCGGTCCACAGAACTTGTTTCCAAAATGCATCAGGCTTGTCTATATGTTCATTTGCAAAGTTCAAACGATGATTTTTGTGGTGAGGACGTAGAAGAGGTTTTCTTCTGATGATTCTTCCATGAAGACCATATTTGTACAAGTATCTCTTTATAGTGGAATAGTGTACCACAACTCCAGTGTCTGCCAGATCTTTCTGGAGGGATCGTGCAGTCAAACGTGGGTTTTGAATTGTTTTTCTCAGAATCCTGCAAGCTGTTTTGTCTGATATTTTTCTTGGTCTTCCAGATCTTGCTTTACCTTCCACTGTTCCTGATGACTGCCATTTCTTAATTACATTCCGAACAGAGGATATTGACATCTGAAAACGCTTTGCTATCTTCTTATAGCCTTCTCCAGCTTTGTGAGCGTCAACTATTTTCAGTTTCAGTTTTCTAGACAACTGCTTAGAAGAACCCATGGTGCTGATTGTTGGGGCAAGGTCAGATGAGTCTGGGCATTTAAAACCTTTGAGATTGACATCACCTGGTCTTCCCAAACGATGATTGAGAACAATCCATGACACTGGCAGGTCTCAGCTTTGCAAAGGGGGCAGTGCATGCTATAAATTCTGCAGGGTGCCCAAACTTTTGCAGACGCCATTTTTTTTTGTTTTCTGTTTTTTTGAAAGTGTAAATGATGGAAATAAAATCTAACTTTTGTTGACATATTATAAGAATGTCTAATCTGTAATTTGATGCCCTTTGGAGATTTTTCCATCTTTCCTTGGCTTCTTTATGCACATTAATAAAATTTTTTAGCTGGGGTGCCCAAACTTTCGATCCCCACTGCACATACACACACATATATATATATATATATATATATATATATATATACACATACATATATACACATACATATATACACATACATATATATACATACACACACACACACACACACACATATATATACACACACACACACACACAATAATATGTACACATATACATGCAGGAAGGGAAGGGATCATCCCCAAACTGTTCCCACACAGTTGGGTGCATGAAATTGTCCAAAATCTCTTGGTATGCTGATGCCTTAAGGGTTCCCTTCACTGGAACTAAGGGGCCAAGCCCAACCCCCCAGAAAGAACCCCATACCATAATCTTCTCTCCACCAAACTTTACGCTTAGCACAAGGCAGTCAGGCAAGTACTGTTCTCCTGGTCAACACCAAACCCAGACTTGTCCTTTGGATTGCCAGATAGAAGTGTGATTCGTCACTCCGGAGAACATGTCTCCACTGCTCTAGAGTCCAGTGGTGTGCTTTACAACACTGTATCCGATGCTTTGCATTACACTTGGTGATGTAAGGCTTGGATTCAGCTGGGGGAAACCCATTCCATGAAGCGCTCTACGCACTGTTGTGCTAATCTGAAAACCACACAAATTTTGGAGGTCTTTAGCTATTGACTCTGCAGACAGTTGGCGACTTCTGCGCACTGTGCGCTTCAGCATGCGCTGACCCTGCTCTGTCATTTTATGTGCCCTACCACTTTGTGGTATAACAAAGTGGAAGCAACTGGGAACAATAGCAACTCAACCACGAACAGTTGACCGTGGAATATTTAGTAGCAAGGAAATTTCACAGATAGGTTTCCACCTGTGCAATAAATCTATCATGGTAACATGCTTGAATTCACTGAGCTCCTGATAATGCATAGAGAGTTTCATGGAATGTATTTCCATGGCTGAGCAGCTGCATCCAAGCCTTACATCACCAAGTGCAATGCAAAGCGGCGGATGCAGTGGTGTAAAGCACGCCACCACTGGACTCTAGAGCAGTGGAGACGTATTCTCTGGAGTGACAAATCACGCTTCCCTGTCTGGCAATCCGATGTACGTGTTTGGGGTTGGCAGTTGCCAGGAGAACGGTACTTGCCTGACTGCACTGTGCCAAGTGTAAAGTTTTGGTGGAGGGAGGGTTATGGTCTGGGGTTGTTTTGCTATGGATTTTGCAGGGGACCCCATGCCAAAAAAAAACAAAAAACACAAAAAACCACCACACAAACAAAAAAAAACACAGCATTTCTCATGTGGTTCCCCATAAAATCCATACCACCAGACCAAAAAGCCTGGTACAGATTTTGGAAGGGACCCCATGCATTTCTTTTTCGGCATGGGTTTCCCTTCAAATACTATAATCACACCTACAGGGCCTGGTAGGGATTGGGGGAGGGATCTGCCCATTTTTTTTTTTGTTTTTTTTTAAGTCGGCTCTTTTGTGGCAAAAGAAAATATTGCATTAGTAATATCTTTACCTAGTGCTGATATAACCTTTTATAAATACATTTCTCAGTACAAAAATGTATTACTTTATCTTGGTTACGAACTCTGGGATTATGCGATATACAAATGAATATATAAACAGGTGTCGGACTTCTAAGTACTTACATGCAGATCTGAAAGGGATACTTATTTTTCCTTGAATACTACTTATGGCAACAATGTGTCCTCTTTTATTCTTGATCATTGATGGAAGAAGAGCTGGAAACAATGCAAAATAGGTTTGGTCTGAAAGCTTTTAACAGCAGACTCATAAAAACTTACTTTGTTTTCACCAAAAAAAAATTATTTTATGATTTGTAAATTATACATCAACTATCCTGGAGCAACATTTGATTAAAATGAAGAGAAGGTTAGTAAGAAATGTAATCACTTAATTTCAAAACCAGATTATACATAAGTCAGGTAAAATAAAGAATTAAAGCAGTTATCAATCAATCACAACTTGCAAGTCACTCTGCATGGCAACAAAACATGTGGCTGGGCAGTGGCATTGCCTGACTTAGCCATGTACTCTGGGCACCACACATCCTCCTTGGCCTTTGATAGCCATACATACAATGGGACACATTTTCCTGGAAAGGGTCATTCTGATCTGTGAAGTATTAGTACTATGGATTCTTTCATGGTTTATTGTCCATGCTGTCATTCATCACTTCCCCCAGAGTTTGGAGTGATTGATCCATTTTTTTTTTCATAACGGTTTTCCTCCTTGCTATATACAAGATGGGGGATATTTACCATTTAGCTTGAACTGCCCTAGAGAATGATTGACATCTACTACATTTTGTTTGCTGCAAATTGTGTACTGTTATATGTCATTCTCTACCATATAACAGGCCTTTGTCTGAAGTGACTAGCTTTGTAGTTTGGTGGCCACATAATATGGCCTAACTCTTATTTTTGATGGGGCAACTAGGTTTTAGAATCGTAATGGCTATGCAATAGAAGTACAATATAATATGTGGGTTGGGGGACCATAAAATGTGTTGCACCTTCTGGACTGAATCCTTTTATGCCATTGCCTTCCGTTCTGATTACAATATATTCCATGTAAACTGACTACTTTTATGCTTAGAGTTTTCAAAGGCACACAGAACAGAGGTAATAAAAGCACTGCGAGCATAGTACAGTAATATGACTACATAGGCGTCAAACACCGTATACTACACATAGATATGACCAAATACCAGAAAACATAACAAATGCAAAGTAACAAAGTTGAACTGAATAGTTTTAAATGCATACTGCCATCACATCTGCTGTATATAACTTCAGTTATGGAACCTTTACTCCTAATCGTCCAGGATTTATCCCTGATATTTTGTACCCATTGATCAAGTTTCTGACTTTGCATTCATTTCATCATATTATTACTAGGTTGATAAGAAAAGTGCCCACTTTTGAAGTGCTTATATCATAGGAGGTTCAGATCTATGTGGAGGTCTTGTGTATGAATATACACTATTGCCAAATTATTGGGACACCTCTCCAAATCATTGGATTCAGGTGTTTCAATCACCTCCATAGCACAGGTGTATATAATAAAGCACCTAGGCATGCAGACTGCTTCTACAAACATTTGTGAAAGAATGGGCTGCTATCAGGAGCTCAGTGAATTCAAGTGTGGTACTGGGATAAGGTTTGCCACCTGTGCAATAAGTCTATCTGTGAAATTTCCTTGCTTCTAAATATTCCATGATCAACTGTTAGTGGTATTGTAACATCAGCAACTCAGCCACAAAGTGGTAGGCCACATAAAATGGGGTCAGTGCATGCTGAAGTGCACAGGGCGCAGAAGTTGCCAACTATCTGTAGAGTCAATAGCTAAAGACATCCAAACTTTGTGTGGCCTTTAGATTAGCACAACAGTGCACAGTGAGCTTCATGAAATTGGTTTCCATGGCTGAGCAGCTGCATCCAAGCCTTACATCGCCAAGTGCACTGCAAAGCGTTGGATGCAGTGTTGTAAAGCATGCCGCCACTGGACTCTAGAGCAATGGAGAGGTGTTCTCTGGAGTGATGAATCACTGATTGCTATTCAATGATCATAGTCCAGCAGCGATTTTTAAATGCACAAACTTGTTTTGCAGCCATCTAAAAATCACCCTAGAAAAGCTACAAATTTGTAGCGATTAAAAAAAAGTCCTGGAACAGAATCAATTGCTAAAACCAACCTGGTTACATTTTACTTAGTGCTTTCTGTCACGATAAAAACTCTTAACCCTTTTACTGCCGAACCAATTTCTTTCATTTTTCACATACATGTTAAATTCACTTTTTGCCTTAAAAATTATTTATTTAAAACCCTCAAAACAGTAGATATTTTCTGAAAGCAGTGCACCTGTCTAGTAAAATGTTTGGAGTTGCATTTTTTTATGCTGAAAGATTTTGCACAAATGTCAAAAATAGGATTTTCTACTTGCATGTAAAATCAGTTTCCTGGAGTAAGGTACAATATGCAGGCTGCGATATATGCAGCTACCCTTCAGATGAATGGACACTGGCATAAAAAAAAAAAAAAAGAATGCTGCAGGGACATCCCCCTATATAACCCCTCCCACTCCCAGCTAGCCACAGTTTTGTAGCAAGCAATAGGGAGGTCATAAGAGGGCAGAAACTTATGTCCTGTACTGTAACCCAAGAAACAGATTTTACTGGTCAAAAATCTTATTTTCCTAGTCACATAGTCGAGGACAAAATCTAATCATTACGACTAGGACATCCGAAAGCAGTCAAACAAAGAGGTGGGAAACACAGTAAAGAATGGCAACATGTCCACATAACAAAACAGGTCAAAAAAGGCTTGAAAGATTCAGAGCAGCAGATTCACACCCAAAATTGGCACTAAAGGAGTTCCGAAAATTGACCTGGTAGAACTTACATGTAAACTGAAGCTCAAGTGGCAGCCTTGCAAATCTATAGAAATGTTGAATGCTGAAAAGCCCACGATACACTAATAGATCTGTGCCACAGTGATAACATATCTGATTCACCAAGCAATAGTAGAGTGAAAATCAAGACCTTCAGGAACCTTCAAGTAGTGTCTGATTTCCTAAAGGTGAAGCTGAGTATTGAAGTGAAGTATTTGGGTTTGTCATTTAATGGTACTCAAAACCAGATGTTGGTCCATAAAGGGAACTGCAAGGAGCTATAAAGCATCTACCAGGGGTCTGAGTATAACAACCTCCTGGGCCAATTCAGTATGAGGAGGATCACTGGAATGCCCTCCTCAGTGGTGTGGTTACAAAAACATTTTATGGGTAGAAGAAGGCTTTTGTTTTAAGTTGCTGTGCCATAAGTAAGAGGCTCACGGATATGTATACACCTCAGCACAATACGTTTTTAAAAGAATTAAACTCTTCCATACGTACAAACTGAAAATAAAGGGCTAACACTGTCTGAGCCTACCTATGAAAATGAACACTTTGATCAGAAATATGTACTGTAGAATATAGTGTACATATAGTGCAGGAGTGTGTAATGTATAATATATTGTAGTACAGGGTTTCTTAACCTTTTTACCTTGAAAGAACCCTTGGCAAAGAGTTTGACATCTTGGAAAATCTCTGAAATTTTCTTATCTACAGCTTACAGAACATTAGTGTGAAACTTGTGCTTGCTTTTTTTTCTCTACACAGATGCTCAATTCTGATTAAAGCGGAGCTCCACCCATAAGGGGAGTTCCTATAAGCCTTTGTCCCCAGCATCCCATTAAGGATTGGCACCTTTGGGGAGCGGGTACCAAAAATTGACAGGTACCCGCTCCCACTTTCGATCGCCTAGGCGATCGGAAGTTGTCCTCCCCGTGACAGGTCCCAGAAGACTATGGGGCCAGTCACAAAGTGCAACGCTTCTCGCGCATGCGCAGTGGGGGCCCGGCTGTGAAGCCGCAAGCTGTCACAGCCAGGTGCCCACACTGAAGATGCCGGCACCAGGAAGAGAAGACGGCTGGTGAAACCAGCAGTGATGAAGACACAGCTGGACCGAGGACCGACAGGTAAATGGCTGTATTTTAAAATGTCAGCAGCTACAGTTTTTGTAGCTGCTGACTTTTATTTTTAGGTGGAACTTCGGTCAACTTAAAAGTGGTTGAAAAAAGTTCAATGTTTACCTTCATGCATTCCCAAGAGAGAGAGAGAAGTCAATTGACATCAGCGCTCCTACATCGTTCTGACAGGCAGGGCTTTGCTCTCCATTTTTTTTTTTATTCCGACCGCTGTTTCATGAGTTTTTTTAACACTATTATCATGCGAGTTCATATGCTCTAATAAATAAATGCCTTTTAAAGAAGCCTGCTGCACTACGGTCTACTTTGTGGTTGTCGACCTCTATCCACAGAGTTGGCTGTACTGAAATCAGGTGCCATTTGTGAAGGTCCAGTGGTGATTCACATGTATTGAACATTTACAGCACTGCGATTTTGGGTGCAATCACCAGCAGGAAGATTTTTCACCTATTTGGATTTTTTGAAGAATTGCATTTATTTTTATGTTTTATCATCTTTTTGGGACTATCAGTCACGTTTTTGTTCGTATATTTACATGTATTGAATTATGCTAGCAGTGCGACACTTTCATTTGTTTTAGTCTGTTTTTTATCTTTACACACATAACGTGTTTGCAGCAGCTCATCTATTATTATTCTCATTATTTGGCAGCACAAGATTTTCTTTTTGCCGTTATTCAAGTTTGAAACACTGACTGCCATAACATATAGAGGCAGTCTCTAAGCAATGCTGGTGTCCAACCACCTGAAGGTAGCTGCATTTAAACCAGCTGTGATGATTTGAAGCCCATGTTCTGAACTGTACAATTAGGAAAAGATAGGGACTATACAACAGGTGTTCAAAACCTATTTGTTTAAATAAACGGAGTCTTGGGTCCTAGACTCTCATCTTATATTGTGTAGGAAATGCAACTTGATGACCAATCTATTGCTCACAACAAAATTTGTTTTTGAAAATTTGTCTTTTTTTTTTTTTAAATAATTTAAAAGTCTTCATTCAAAGTACACACACACACACACACACACACACACACACACACACACACACACACACACACACACACACACACACACACACACACACACACACACACACACACCTTTAGTACAGGGCTACTGTTTTTTACGTTCAGGCAGAGAAGAGCCTATGTATTGAAGGCAGCACAGCACAAACATTTTACACGATATTATGT